TACTATAAAATGTATTGGTGGTCATTTTGCTTTAAAAATCTATTGTTAGTTATTTTACTATAAATATATGTTGTTAGTAATTTATTTTAATATAAAAATGAATTGTTGGTATTTTTACTATAAAAATGAATTGGTATATAATGTTTGCTTTTTGTTTGGGTTTCCCAATTTTCCCATAGTTGGGACCCTAACAGGTGCTACCACTCTGGGTCAGAGTAGACATGGGAACAACAGCAATTAAGAGGTGGTTCCACGCTCCTCAAAAACCGCAAATCTTCGATAAGCGGCCTTATTGCCGGATGTAGTTTATCGTCATGCCCAGGACTGTCTGGTGGAAACGCTGCTTCCGTTTAAATATTTTGTCAGTTTTCAGTGTTTATTTTGAAATTGTTATTTTTCAACTAGATAATAATTAATAATTACTACATAATTACTGACAAAGTAGAAAATAGTCATAAAAATGGTTTAACCTTTTCATCTGTCCATGATCGTGGATAGTCGAAGGGTCACTGTACACCTAAGCCCATAAACGATTACCCGCATTTTGGTAATTTCTTTTATCTATATTATTTTAATTTAATAAAGTCCATCCAATACAAGACCCAAGAGCCACTCAAGACAGAGTATTACTGAATTAGGTGTGTGATATGAATGTAAGAGGGGAATTATGAAATTTACGTGGATATGGAGGATAGATAATAATCCAACCTAAACTTGAAGTGTTTATGATTGTAGATTGTAAAGCACCCCCCCACATCCCGGGTGCCTGTTTTGGAAAGAAGCTTTCAGAGAGGAACGCCCTAGTGACCAAAGAAATACGTAGCGAAGAAAGGAGATTTAATCCTGTGGGCGTATCAGGGCGAGTCTCAGTTATTAAGGTCTGAGCTGGTGCCAGTAAAGAATAGAGCTGGTCTGAACATTTGCCGTGGAAGTTACGAAGTTATGTTTGTGACATACGGATTCTAAAGGCGGGGATTTTTAGAGAAAGAGAAATAAATAAGTCATACCCCACAAGGCTCGTTTTGAAAATCTCTGTAAAGGCTGGAAAGTGAGTATTGACTAGCTACAGTCCAAATATAGCAGAAATACTATATTTTTTTTGTCTGATAAGATATAGCATGGAGGAAAATATGAAATCTATTATTGTTTACGATTAACAGGCTACGATAGATAGTGATACAGACAGACAGACAGATAGATAGATAGATAGATAGGTAGATAGATAGATAGAAACAGATTGGAATATATATATATATATATATTAATGGAATTAATGGAAATATATTAATATGGAATATATATATATATATATATATATATATATATATATATATATATATATATATATATAAATATATGATTGGTGTATACGGAATAAATTCCAATAACCAACAATTACTATTCTTAAATGAGTGCTCAATACAGAGTAGAGAGAATATAATTATTTATTTAAAAGTTATAACATAAATATGTTATAAAGTCACTACAAAAAAATATATAAAATATATATATATATATATATATATATATATATATATATATATATATATATAGAGAGAGAGAGAGAGAGAAATAGATAGATAGATAGAAACAGATTGAAATGGATAGATCGATGGATAGATAGAAACAAACTGGAATATATAGATGAATAAATAAATATATCGACCAATAGACATAGATGTGAACAGATTGAGATAGATCGAAACACACTGGGATATATATATATATATATATATATATATATATATATATATATATATATATAAACAGAGGGGTAGATAGATAGATAGATAGATAGATTGATAGATTGATAGAAACAGTCTAGGATATATAGATAGATATGAACAAGCTGAGATAGATAGATGGTTGTATATATATATATATATATATATATATATATATATATATATATATATATATATATATATGTGTGTGTGTGTGTGTGTGTGTGTGTGTGTGGTGTATGTAAATTACTTTCAGATGGAGTGTATCAGTAAAGGAAAAAACTGAATAAAAAGACAAGATGAAAAACCTATTCTTAGTCGACGCTTGACAAAGATTCTCAGAGGACGTAACTCGTCGGCAAAAAAAAAAAAAAAATTTCAAGAGCCTTTTTTTTACTCACTTTCGTTTATTAAACATTAAATACCGTCACTTAGCTTCCTTCATAACTTACCTAGACTTTTCAGTTAACCTGATGAATATTTATGAGCGTTTCTTAAATTAAAAAATATTAAAAAAACTAACAACAATTTTGCTCTTATATATAACTACTTGTTACAAAATAAATACATTTGCCTCGATAAAGTCCCTGACAGGACGAAACGCGTCGGCTATGATAAGTTTTCTTTTGTCCTTATTTATATTGTCCTTTTACAAATATATTCTACCTTAAATTACACATATTATTATTATTGCTATAAACTTTTAGTGGGCGTATTTTGGGGATGGATATATATATATGAGGGGGTGCTGAAAATTGTCGACCTCAGTTGAAGTAATTAAAATATGGTGTTTTGTCATTGTGTCATATTTGGGGAATTTGCTCAGGCCGAGATTTTTTCAGCATGATGTTAGCCAATATACATACCAACATCAAAGGTAGAATGCGTATGAAAGAGTCAATTGGAAGTGAGAGAGAAAGTAAGTGAGAGAGAGAGAGAGAGAGGGAGAGGGGAAGCGGACGAGAGAAAATGATAGACTAGGACGGAGAGAGTGAGAAAGTGAGAGAAAGAAAGATAGAGAGATAGAAAGAGAAAAAGACAGAAAGTGAAAGACAAAGAGATAGATAGATAGATAGATAGATAGATAGAGAGAGAGAGAGAGAGAGAGAGAGAGAGAGAGAGAGAGAGAGAGAAAGCGAGAGAAAGATAAAGGTGGGGACAGGAAAAAAGAGGCGAGGTGAAAGAGTGAGACGTTGGCGGGGGGGGAATAAAAGAGAGATAGAGAGAAACGTAGTATGTCAGAGAAAGGATATTAAAGTGGAAAGGAGGGGCGAGAAAAGAGTCCGAGAAGAAAAGAAAAAACAAAACAGAATGAAAGAGGAAACGTCAGGGAAACATTTTTGGGGGAGATAAAGGGGATACAGTTGTGGCAAAGGGATCGAAAGGTGTAAAATAGACCCTGCCTAAAATGGTCGTCATAATCATTGCCGCCGCCGCCGCCGCCGCCGCCGCCCTCTTCGACGCCGCCTGTCGTCTGTTCTTGTCATTTGTCGCCTTGTCGTCCGCCTTGGCGTTAGTGTGAGTGTCTGCCGCTGGGCGGCGCTCAGGCACGGAGATAGCTGAACAGATAAGAGCGGGTGGCTTATCAGACTCGCTCATCTAGAGAAGGCTTCAGGGCTTTTTGGCGGCAAAAGAATGGAAGATTGATTTGCGGCAGAGGGGAGGGAATATCTGCCGGAAAGTAGAACCAAAGAGAATAAATCTATCTATCTATCTATCTATCTATCTATCTATCTGTGAGTGTGTGTGGCTACTCCACATGTAACGACTTCCCTATTTAACGGCACCCAAAATTACGACCAGCTATAAAATCTAAAAAAAAAAAAAATGCAAGCAGTTATTGTGTCGTTATATTAAAACTTTGATTGAAACTAAATAGAATAATTAAATGAAGTGAAAAATGAATTAAAGTTTTTTTTTTTAATTGTACTGTATTTATAATACGCCAACCAAAGTAATGAATAGAACAATCCTGGCTAACCTTTTTCGAGCAGTGAGCCGCATAATCTATAGCAGACCGCGCTGTTAAAAAGATTCAAGGTAATTTTTCGTAATAGGTACCTCAGCTATTATTACAACAGACGATCGGCGGAAGCATGGAACTTTAAAAGTTGATTTTTTCTTTGGTGTAAAGATTTCTCTATAATTAAAAAAATTGAAGTCTTGGTATAATATTATCACTGAGAAAATTATTATATTATTCCTTAACGAAATTTGCCAATCGTTTAAAATGATGAACGCGTTACTTTCACCGAAATTTTACAAAATTTAAAAAACATAGTACTTAATCATTGTTTATGTATGTGGTTATGTATCAGAGATTGGTTTGGTTTGGTTTGGTTCGGTTCGGTTCGGTTTGGTTTGGTTTGGTTTGGTTCGGTTTGGTTTGGTTTGGTTTGGTTTGGTTTGGTTTGGGTTGGTTTGGTTTGGGTTGGTTCGGTTTGGTTTGGTTTGGTTCGGTTTGGTTTGTTTTATGCCATATCAACCTCAATGGGTTATTTAATGCCGACAAGATTTTTATTGCTGATAATATTTTTTTTTCAAAAATGTATTGCTCTTAATATTTTTCATTCAAAAATATATTTTTGGCAATATATTTTTCTTCAAAAATCTATTGCAGGTAATATTTTTTCCTTCAAAAATCAGTTTCAGGTAATATATTTTTATTCGAAAATCTATTGTAGGTAATATTTTTTCTTCAAAAATCTATTGCTGGTAATATTTTTTCCAGAAATGTATTGCTGGTAATATTTTTTTCCAGAAAAGTATTACTGGTAATAATGTAATGCTGGTAAAAATTTTTCTTCAAAAACTTATTGCTGGTAATAATTTTTACAAAGTATTTTTGGTATTAAAACCAATTTTTCATAGTCTTTTGACCTCAGTTTGGGGTAAACTATTTTCCCATAGCTGGGACCCTAACAGGTGCTACCACCCCGGTTCAGAGTGTACCTGGGAACACCAGTAATTAAGGGGTGGTTCTACGCTCCTCAAAACCTCCTGATCAAAAGCCTTGCTGCCAGATGTAGTTTATCGTTTTACCCAGGTTACGTATTAGAAATTGTGAGTGAATAAATGAGAATGGAATGAAAGCAACACAGTTTGCACATGACAGGAATAGAATATGGAGGTGATTTTATAATTTGTTTATATATATATATATATATATATATATATATATAAACCTGGAGCCAGCTTTCCCTGACGATCCGCTTAGGTGAAACCTGGGTAGGTTTGTCTGGCTCACTAGGTTTATCTAGGTCTGCTCTACGGTTGTATTGAGCTCTTTTGTTAGTTGTTTACTCGTGTCGGGGTTTTTTCTTTGGGCTTCAAACCTGTATTTGTGCGATATTTTTCGACAGACTTTCATGTTTCTAGCTCTTTCTTTTTTTAAAACCTTTTTTTTCTTTCGAGATTGATTTGATTATTGGCAAATCAAAAATTCGAAGGTTTTTCGAAACGAGTATAGCTATCTATCTATCTATCTATCTATCTATCTATCTATCTATATATATATATATATATATATATACATACACTACAGTTTAAAGGTTTGAGGCCACACCTGGTAATTTTTTAAATTAGCCCCAAAAGTAGTTGTTTTGTATTTTAAATAAGAGAAAATTATTATACATGATTAAAAAGTGAGACATGATATTTTATTAGAATTTTTTTTATAACAAAAAAAAAAAAAAAAAAAAGAAACCATTTTATGATTAAATTTTACTCTCGTCAAAATATCCTCTTTTTCCCTTTAGCGTTTCTCAAAGTATAAGTTTCATAATTGATTCCATTCTTTTTTTTAATGACTCTAAGACGTGTTTTTGATTTTTTTCTCGTCTGTGAAGTTCAATCTTATGTTAATTCTGGGGCTGTCTTTAAATTTTAGAATGAAGTACACACGCACACACTAACACACACAAATACATATGTGTGTGTATGTGATAAAGTATAGTTTTAAGGTATGTTATATTTATGGGTTAAAGTGCTTAATATCAGAGATAGAGCGTATGTAAATATAAAAGTGGACACTGATGTCAACACCCAGCGGCGACATTTTGTTTCATGCTTAAATGCAGTTGTGTTGATTAAATGGAGAATAATCTTCAGTTGTCCATCACCACCTGAAAAAGCATACACAGTGTCGAAACCTGATTGAATTTATGTAGCAGTTTATAACGTGTTTTTGTAATAATTGTTAATAAATATTATTATTAAGATCTACTCTTCATTGAGTACTTTTTAAAAATATAATGTCTGGACATTGGTATTAACCTAGCTTACACTTGTGTATGTGTGTGTAATATATATATATATATATATATATATATATATATATATATATATACACACACACACACACACATATATATATAAATGCCTTATTAAAAAAAAAAATTGTGTTTATTCAATTTATTGATCATTTTCCTAGTATTCGAATAACAAATAAAAAAATAGAAAAATGATCTGCAGACACATATATATATATATATATATATATATATATATATATATATATATATATATATATATATATTCATAATAATATATATAATATAATATATTCATTATAATGATCTGCAGATATATATATACTGCTACTAGCAAGTAGAAAATTTTCTATTGATGATGGCCATGTTGGCCGAAACTAGTCGAGGAATCTAACTGAAATAATAATAAAAAAAAAAAAAAAACGAAAGAATATTAATATACAACCCAGTGTGTCTGAAGATTTTAATTTTGTAATATTTTGATTGTTCAAACATATATATATATATATATATATATATATATATATATATATATATATATATATATATATATATATATATATATATATATATATATATATATAATATATATATATATATATATATATATATATATATAATATATAAATATATATTATATATATATATATATATATATATATATATATATATATATATATATATATATATATATATAGAGAGAGAGAGAGATAGAGATAGAGGGAGGAGAGAGAGAGAGAGGTGGGTGAGGCAGAAGTCGTACACTATAGGGATTATTTATTAAAAGTATAATTACACATGCAATTTTTATTTACTAGTTATTTAATTGTGATATGTGTTGTTCAATTTAAATTCTCTGCCTCCGTGTTTGATGAACACGTCGGAGAGGTACTTCTATAATTTTACTACATTCATATTTAATTCTTTCTTTAAGCTCCTCAATATTTCTGGGGCGCCTTTGATAAACAACTGATTTTAAATGGCCCCCACAGGAAAAAAAAACAACAACAAAAAACAAGGGTGTGAGGTTTGGTGACTTCGATGGCCACTCAACAGGACATCTTCGACCTATTCAATAAACCCTTTTGCCTCCCCTGCATATATACAGAATATATATATATATATATATATATATATATCGGGTGCGATGCATGCATTGTCGTCTAAATTATGCAAAAATAAAAATAAAATTAACATCCCATTTTAACAGATATATATGCCAAAATTTACACAAAAATATCTTAAAATACTAAAGAGTAAATTTATTCAATTCTATTCTGCTATAATCCTTGCCTTCAGTTCATCTTTGGTGTTTCAATACTGTGTATAGGGGGTTGAGGAAAGGATAAACAGAAGAACGGGGATTAAGGCAAAAGAATATGTCGATTGACATTACATTTAAATTTTTGAAGATTATAGTTATCATGGAAGCAAGTAAAAGGAAGGGAGATCCATTGTCGGGAAGTGAGAGAGAAGCTGTTAGAGTAAAAGAGGCGGTTACATTTAACTATTTCGACAGTAAAAGGGTGGGACCGAAATGCCAACCAAGTAGCAACTTTAAATTCATGCAGTTGTAGTACCAGTGAAAATATCTCGTCAGAACAGATGCCATGAAAATACTTATAGAAAAGACAGAGGGTGACTACATCGCGTCTGTGATAAAATGACTGGTGTCGAGATGCCAGGTCAGGACCTATCACATTGCATATCAGTCTTTGGATTTTGTCGAGAACCTCGAGTTGAACAGCGTGGGGACCAGACCATATATGGCAACAGTATTCCATGGATGGACTAATGATAGATTTGTAGATGTGAAGGATGGTCTCAGACGAGAAAAACCTTCTTGCACGACACAGGGAACCAACTTTCCTTGCAGTAGATGCAGCAATTGATTCAATGTAGTTGTTCCACCTCAGGTCACTAGAAAACGTGAGACCAAGATGGCGCAGTGAGACACTCTCGTGGAGTTGAGCATCAACCATGCTGATAGGAGGCAGGGAAGTTTCTCTATGGATGACAGCATTTTAGTTTTGGATGCATTAGACTTCACAAGCCATTTCCTGCCCCAGTCACCCATAGATTGGAGGTCGTCTCTGAGACCAACGGCCAGATTAACTTTATGAGCAATGTCGGATTTACGATTGAAACACTAGTAAAAGGTAATGTCGTCTGTGTAGATGCCTACTTCAGAACTGATGAAGTCAAGAAGATCATTGATGAAGATCAGAAACAGTGTAGGGCCAAGGATAGAGCCCTGAGAAACACCAGCGTTCGTACGGAAGGAACTGGAGGAGAATCCGTTCAGGCCGACCTTCATTTCATGGTTAGACAGGAATGATTGGATTAAATCAAATAATCGCCCTGTCATACTGATCCCTGAAGTTGCTTACATAGAAGGCCATCATGCCAAATTCTGTCAAAAAGCCTTCGAGATATCTAAAGTATATTTATTGCCATTAATACAATTTTAAACCAAAATGACCAGCAATACATGTTATAGTAGAAATGTAAACAATATATTTTATAGCAAAATGACCAACATTTTATCTGTGGTTGAAGCCATAAAAATGTGTTCAAAATTTCCAATTAAATTTCGGCATTAAATGACTCATGAGGAGTTGATATGCCATTAAACGATCAAATAAAATCAAAGCATTCAAGAAAATTAAATTTCGGCATTAAATGACCCATGAGGAATTGATATGCCATTAAAAAACCAAATAAAATCAAAGCATTCAAGAAAATTAAATTTCGGCATTAAATGACCCATGAGGAATTGATATGCCATTAAACAATCAAATAAAATCAAAGCATTCAAGAAAATTAAATTTCGGCATTAAATGACCCATGAAGAGTTGATATGCCGTTAAACAAACAAACATCCAACACTAAACTTTATTTAATTCTACTAGATTATATCAGCGGTTCAATTTCTCTCGGATCTACTCTCGAAATAATTTATATATATTAATTAATATTTTTATGTTATTCCATCGTCCATTATTCGGTAGGGTCAGCGGTTATACCGTTAAGTTGAGAGAACATATTAGGTGTTCAGTGGTTCAACAAGTTTACGATCATTCCGGTCATGATGATGATGAAAAAACTTAGTTTTTAAAGTTGGTCTTCAGTTCGTTATCATCAGTGTTTATCAGCCATTAAGAGGTACTTCTTCAAACCATTTGTTTATATTTAGTTATTCTAGACTTTACGCAATTCTAGCAGATCGCATTAGAGATTAAGTACTTCTCGGTTCCAGTCTCAAAATAATTGATATCCATTAATCATTTTTATAGTTTTATCCTGTGAAAATTTCACCGTTTTCCTATTTTAAATTTTTGATGAATCTTAATTCTTAAGTTAATGATTGAATCAGCTCATGGCGAATTCTACGACAATAAGATATCTGTAGAAATTCCCTTTCGCATCGTTAAATATTTGAGCTTAACAACTTTAACAAAATATTGCAATAAAAATCATAAATATGAATGCTGGTCGTTATTTTAAGAAGTAAGGGGGTACAAATGAAAAGGTTTGAAATTGTTAACTTTTCCATTTCACTGAAAAAGATGTTAAACTGAAACCAAGTAGTGTCTTTTACCTTCTTAACACGCGATCAAAACGGAATAGTCCATTATTCATGAGGTATTAATAGATGTTAAACACTTTCTTTCTTTCTTTCATTTTCTCACTGAAACCAAGTAGTGTATTTCCCCCTCTTAACACGCGATCAAAACGGAATAGTCCATTATTTATGAAGTATTAATAGAAGATGTTAAACACTTCTATCTTCCGTTCTTTCTTTCTTTCTTTCTTTCTTTCTTTCATTTTCTCACTGAAACCAAGTAGTGTCTTTCCCCCTCTTAACACGCGATCAAAACGGAATAGTCCATTATTTATGAGGCATTAACTGGAGACGTTAATCACTTCTATCTATCTATCTATCTATCTATCTATCTATCTATCTATCTATCTATCTATCTATCTATCTATCTATCTTTAACT